GCTGCCAAACCCCCGCCGTGAGGCCCCCGCAGCAGCCAGCAACCCTGGGAGAGCCTCCAAGTACTTTTGCAGAAGTCAGGACTTGTGTTAAACCTGGAGGTTTTTTTGGCGGAGAAACTTCCAAAATTTCTCCCTTTGTGCTGGAGCAAAAGGGAGAAAAAGCCGAACTGGAAAGATTTAGAAGTTCATGAGGAAATACATGTCCTCTGAGCTGTTTTCTTCCCCTCTGCGACTCTGAATTGTCTCTCCTGGGGAATGTTCCTGTGCAAGTCAGGCAATGAGATACTGAGTTGGAAACACGAGGACTTTAAGGCATGCTGAAGCCTACTTCAGCCTGTCTGGAAATCACAACAGAACTGGTGATTTCAGGGACCTAAACCAGACTCCCAAATTCAGCCCTTTCCTTTAAAATAGCCCACGTCTCTGCCTGTCAGAGTTTGAAACCCAGAATGGGATGGTCTCCTGCAAACAGCCAGGTAGCAAAGTGTCCCATGTCCAGATAGTGACCTGTCCAAGGAGATGAGGCAAGAGACAGTAATTGTCCATGTGGACACAGAAAGAGAAGGAAAGAGGGCAGGAGGTGGGAGGAGGAGGAGATGGGGAGCGAGCAGGCAGCTGAATGACAGAGGAGGCACCGAGAGGCAAACACCCCACTGTGATACCGAAGTGCCCTCCCCAGCTGCAGGGTCCGGGGGGCTGCAGCCAGGGCTGGGCTCACAAGGCAGGCGTTCGCACCAGCTCTCCCCTCCCTTTGCTCCTCTAAAACTGAGGTCACCTGCCCAGGACCCTGCGAGTCCCTCTGGCATAATGTGAGCCAGCACTCCCCTCCTCAAGGAGGCCATCAGTATTAATTATCCGGCACACACCCCTGCACTCCTGCCTTTCGGACCCTGTCCCTGCTCCACCGAGCCCAGCCAAAGCAGGGGAGCCAGCTGGGCTTGGGGGGGGCTTCTGTGCAGCAAACTAACCCCCTCCACTCCCCCCACAAAGGGAAGCAAAATATTGGGGCACCCCATCCCCTGCCAGAATGCCCCTCAAAGCACTGCGCCCCTGGGAGCGCTGCCTGCAGCCCAGCGTGCCCCAGCCCGGCGGGGAGCCCCTACCTGCTTGCGGGAGCTCAGGGCCCCCTTGTTGCCGCGGCAGGAGAGCTTGAGGGAGCCACCCTGGTGTGTGGAGCCCAGGCAGGAGTGCTGCGGGGTGGCGGGCAAGGGGCTCATGAAGAGGATGCGGGCAATGAGGCCGTAGAGGACAGTTGCCAGCCCCAACGGGATGACGTAGAAGACAGCAAAATCCAAGAAGTAAATGGGCATGTAAAGGCTTCTGGAGACCCGGTAGCCACAGCTGACCTGTGCCCCATCCGAGAAGGTGACTTGAGTGGTGTCCACCAGGAAGAACCACATGAGGCAATAGAGGGAGGTAAAGAGCCACAGGGAGGAGATGATGCGCTTGGCGCGGGACACGGTGCACAGGAGCTGAGCTTTGA